ATGAAATGAAAATGGTGTGCCAACTAAATAGTGCTCGGATAATATTCGAGCACAACCACAACTATCCACAAAATGCATAGATTGTTTTAATTTCTTTTAAGTTTTCTATCTTTTTATCAGTTTTTCCACAATCATGTGTGTTCTAAAATTTTGAAATAACCTTTTTAAAAAGGAAAAACTAATTAACTAGAAATACATAAATTGTTTATCATGATCAATAAATAGTAAATATTTATCTAGTTTTTTTTTTTAATTCTTTTCAACAACATGCATTATGTAGATTTAAATCCGTATGATAACGTGACCCAAAAAAAAATCCATAAACTAAAAATTCACTATGCTACATGTCATACATGATCTATTATTTAGTCTTATTAAATACAATTATCAGAAATTTTTAAAACTAAAACTTTGATTGATCTTACAGATTTTTCTTGGTTCACCATCTAGTATGGTTTTGAAAGTTGCATTTCGAGTTTTATTTAGTATTTATTATCAGAAAAATTGAAATTAAAAATTTGACTGACTCGCGGTCCAATCGATCTAACTTGGTAATCCCATAATCTGATTTACAGTATGTTGTAAGTACATTTATCAACACAATGGCATTCTGAATTGTTCCCGGTTGGTGGTTTGTAAGTACCAATCCCATCAGCTTTTTCCCTCTTACATCCATCAGCACATTTATGATACATTCATATGGTGTATGTCATGGTGTATGCGACGACGCTTGGTCACGTACTTCGTTTTGTTTCTAAATAAAGAACTTCAAAACTCATTTTTTTTCCTTTTGTTTTCTCCACCATGGCGCTCCTATTATGATAGATATTTAAGACACAGAATATCAGTATCATTTTTATAAATGAATAAATATATGAGGATTATTCTACAATTTTTGTTTTTTTCCGTCATATTCTACAAATATAAATTAATTATGTATATTTGCATAGAAAGCTAGAAACCGTCAAACTTAAGGGTATAAAACATATGATAAGAAAGAAAGGAAAATGTAAACATTTCAAAAATTGGTAATGAGTGTAATGAAAGATGAATTTCCTTTTAATGGATTGAATACGGAAACAAAAAATGCAGTC